TGGAACTTCCTGTGACTCTAGCCAGTAATGCTATCAAACTTCTGTGTGCTGAAGGTTGAATCTGTTAATTTAATGTATGTATGCCCTTCTGTTTGAAATCTGTCATTAAATCCTGACTTGTCTTCCATGGTTGTCCTTTAGACAGTGTTTCCAAAGCAGTTGGAAAGTACGTGGGCAGAGGGCATGGCAGCACCCAAGACATGAGCTGGTGGCTGCCCTTGGCATGTTTTTGTACTAATCAGATCTGATTTGATTAAACAGACTGTGTTGTTAACCATTTCTAATATTTTTTTTTGTTTTACTTGCAAATCAGTGGTCAATCAGAATTTTTAAATGCTTTTTGCTGAAGACAAATTTTTAAGCAATTTTGCTAATAAGAACTGATTCATTTGGTTAACCAAGATGTATTCAGGAGGCTTGGAAGCTCCACTGCATTCTGCCAGCCTGACTACCAAGTTGCTATCACATACCTCAGAGCTTCATAGTCTCGAAGGACAGTAATTCTGGAGATACCCTGTTAAATGTTAGTGTTTAAATTTATTTGTTTTTAAAGCTCTTGAATTCGACTGCTCCTTGTTAATAAACGCAGGAGACTTAGACACAATTGAGGCAGCTATTATCTTAAATGTAGAAGTACCAACTTGCAAGTCTGGCAGAGTACACAGCCTCTGATTTGTGAGGTGCTTGGTCACTTCATAGCTCGGTCCCTCCCTAATTGTGCCCTTTTTATGCATCAAAGGGGAGTCTCTGCATTAAGATATTTTTAAGGAAATGTCTTTCAGAAATAGTTCTTGGGAAATACGCACAGTCCTTGTTTTTGTCAGAGGACCTTGTAGTCTTGTTGCCATGTGGTCCTTGCTTTTCTAAACAGCTCAGGCACCCAAAAAGAGTCCTGACCTAAAGCTGCCTTATAGTAAGGGATTGATAGCTTAGTGTGCTCTTGCTGCAAGTCTGCTTTGCCTCCTCACCGGTGGAAGTGCCACAGCCTGGCTCTCACCTGTGAGTGTGCAAAGCCAGGGATCTCAATTTCCGAGTGCTGAGCCAGGGCTCTGGAGCTGCCCACCAGTGCAGGCCTCCATTCTTACCAGGGAAAATGCTGTCTGTTCTTGGTGGAAAAAACACCCCTGGCTATTTTAGGTCCTTGGGATGCCAAGGGAAGAGTGCAATAGCAGACAGCTTCTGCTACTTGTGAGTGGCCGATTTAAGTAAATGATCTCAATAACTTCTATATTTTCTCCTCTCCATCCCCAAACTTGCTTAAACTTTTAGTCTGCTACTTTCTTTTCCTCTGCTATCAGCTGAAACCATTAACTTTCCACAAGAATTGCATAGCCTGCTAGTTTTAGGTCACCCTTTCCTCCTGGCATCTGCATCTTAGCTGCTCACAGCCATCAGTAAAACCATTGTATACTTGAAATGCTCTAATAAATGTTGCCTGAATAATCCACTGTGCAGCTTCTGAATCCTCTGGTCTTTGATGTTTCGTAAAATGGTGGGAGCGTGGAATTCCTTTCAGAGTTTGATTTTTTGGTAAGAATTTTGGGAATTCTCAAATCTCTTGTGCTGCAGGCTCAAGTCCTGCACTTTCAGAAGAGGCCAGAAGTGTTTGTAGTGGCAGTAGTAGCTAATGCTTAGATCTGTGCTTCAATTCAGCAGGTTCAGCCAAGTGTTGCCTGTTTAAACCGTTCTGCTCCTTCAGCAGGTGTCCCTGCCCCGTGACACACAGTGATGGCAGAGCCACTGCTGCATTCCAGAGTGCTTCAGTGTGGTCTGGAGCAGGACTCTGAGCACTGCTGTAACGTGCAGAGCTGCTTTCCTACCCCCTTGCTCTGTCCTTTGCTTGCCTGTGCTCCCACCAGCTGAGTTTCTTGCGCTTTGCACTTCTTTGCAGTTCTAGTGGCTGCAAGCCGAGGAGACCTCCAGCTCAGGAGGACTGGAGTAGGGACTGCCATGGGAGAGCAGGGCTTGGGCAGCACCTCTGCCCTCAGCACTTCTGGATCGGCACAATGAGCTTGCTTTGCCGTCTCCTCTCCTTGATGGAGAGTGAACCAATGGCTGGATCTGTGCATGGAGCAGCAACTTGGGGACAAAAGTGTCCTTCCTGTGCTGAAGACTGGAGCTGTGGGAGCCACAGCTCTCGGGACACAGTTCCACCAGGAGCTGTATCTTTATGGAGCTGACGAGAGTGCAGAGAAGAGGCTGCACGCCTACAGGCTCAGTGAAGCTCCCTGCTAGCTGCAGACCTGCAGGAACATCACTTTGACTTTCACCAAAGAGCAGCCAGTCCCTGGTAGGAAGGAGAGCGAGATGTTTCCCAACCTAACCTCACTGGGACATGAGCAGCAAGAGCATTCTGGTGTGGAACTGGAAGAGAAGTTTCTCTTGCTCTCTTTAGGGCTTCAAGAGTGACATGTGTTAAAACTAATGCAGGTTACTTTCAGTGTTGAAGGGAGGAAACCAGTGTGGGTGCAAGGGGGTGTTGGGGGGTTGGCTGTCCCACTGGGCAGCTCAAGTCTTGCCAACACCAGTTGTCAAAGCCCAGCTAAACCCACAAAGCAGCTTTGACCAGCATGACCAAAACAGGTTACCTGGGGTTTGGCCCAGGAAGGGAATGCTGCTGCTGTCACCTGCCTTCAGCAGTGTTTTGGATGTCCTTAGAGCGAGCGGTGCCTGTTGGGGTGGCAGCACACCACTGAGGAGCCCTTGTCCCCTCTATGGGGTGTCAGCACCTCTGCAGTTCCACAGCTTGATTTCTAAGCTTGCAAAGCCTGGGCTCACAGTTACTGTCATTCTGCTGTCCACAAATGTTGCAGAGGCTTATAAAATTGAGACAAATAATATATTCAAATTAATTTATTTTATAAACCAGTTAAACCAGATAAACCAAATAAGCCCATTAAAGCTTGGCCAACATTTGAATACACAATCATTATATCAAATGGAATTGGAACTACCCAGCTGTAAGAATTCTCAAGATTTCAGAGGGGAAACCCAGAATACACAATCCCTCATGCAATGAGGGCTCTCAGCCTCGAGGAGTTTCCTCGGGGGGAACCCCTGTCTGCTGACCCTCAGCTCTGAGGAGGAGCAGCTCCACTGAGCCCACTGGGGCTCGGTCTGTAGCCCCACTGAATGTGACCTGTGGTCAGACACAGTCACGTTACCCCTCACTGAGCGGGGTCTGACCTCCTGCCCCACCACAGCCACCACGCAGGGGTGACAGGGCTGGTCACGCTGGCCAGGGACGTGGCCGAGGTGGTGGCAGCTCACTGGCCAGAGGGGCTGAGGTGGGTACTCCTGCCACAGCCAATTGGTTTGGATTTGTCTGTTGAGTTGGTCTGTTAATTCTCTGTCAGGCAGTGGGTGGGAGAGGATGCAGTATGGACACACTCCCAGCCCTGGAGGAGCTGCAGTGGTGGGGAAGGCACCCCCTCGAAGTGCTGGGGATGGGGACACTAGAAAGATGCCTGAAAGTGGAGCAGGCTGAGACTGGCTTGCAGAAGCCAAACAAACCTATTCTTGTTCCTATTTATTTAGTTACTAACTGGCAGCGGCCATTATGCCCTCAGGCCACTGAAGGCACAACCAAAACCTTACCACTGCCACAGCAAAAGGAGATTTACAGCTCCCTGTTTTGAGGAGCACTGAGCTAGTAGAGCTGCTTATGCAGGGAAGAGTGGGGAGTATTAGCTGGCTCGTAGGAGGATGAGAAAGTAGGACACATACCTCTCAGGTGACTTCCCCAGAGCCAAACAGCCCAGCACTCCGTGTGCTCTGCCTCCCAAAACAACAGATGTCCAGGATAGATTAGGGCAGTAGAAAGATTTTTCAGACCTAGCAGCCAAACAACCTAGAGTGTGTGCCAAGTTGAGAGAGAGAGAGGCCAGTGTTATTGTGGGGATAAGGAATTTTCACAAACTTGCAGCCATGAAAAGAAACAACCTCTTCCATCTTCCAGTTATTTTACTGGCTTTTTTAGGTCAACTTCCAAAAGAAGCGTAGAGGGGGAAATGAAATATTTCAGCTCATGTCTGCCCCAGGTATGGCTGGTCCTGTGGCCCCAGTTCTGGCTCCGTGCTGACCAGCTGTGCTGCCCGTCAGCCTCAGCCCCTCCTGACACCTGTGCCGGTGCTGCTGGACACAGGAGCAGGGAGACACCAGTGCCAGGTGAGCCTGGCCAACTTCGCCCGCAAACACCAACCCAAACCTGCTGTTCCGCAGAGGGGAGCTCGGTCCGCAGCTCTCATCCCAGAGGGCCTTCACGATCAGCCCCCGTCGGAAGGTTGTGGGAGAGCAGAGACATCACTCAGTGGCAATGTCACCGCGTCTCTTGCTGATGGTCCCCTGGGGGCTGGAGCCCCCCTTGCCCCGTGGTCATGGGTGACATGGCACTTGTGAGCCCCCCTGCTACAGGCTGCTTTCAATGAGCGGCGACACAGTCTGCTGGAAAGCTCTTCAGCCTTCTGGAGGCAGGACTAAGAAATCTTGGATCCAGCTCCCCTGGCGGCTTGGCCCGGCACGCGAACAGCCCTGGCCCGGGGGGCCTGGGCCGCTGCCTCGCTGTGGGTCAGGAGGGAGGGGGGGCTCAGACCCCCGACCGGCCCTTCCTGCCACCCCCGGGCCCGGCCCCGCCGCGCCCGCCCCTGCGGCCCCCGCGGCCCGGCGGAGCTGCCGGCCGGCCGTGCGGCCCGGTTGGACCGGGGCGGTGGGCTCGGCTGGACCCGGCCCGGCGCGGTGCGGCCCGGTTGGACCGGGGCGGTGGGCTCGGCTGGACCCGGCCCGGCGATGGCGGTGCCGGCGGCGGCGGAGGCGGTGCCGGGCCGGCAGCGGGCCTTGGCCGCCGGCTCCCCCGTGGACTACATGAGCATCACCAGCTTCCCGCGGCTGCCCGAGGAGGAGCCGGGCGGCGCGGCGGAGAGCGGCCTCCGCGCCCGCAAGGAGGAGGACGCGTTCCTCGGCGAGCAGGACACGGGTGAGGGGCGGCGGCAGCGCCCGTCCTCGGCCCCCGGGCCCCTCCAAGCTCCGCGATCCGCGCACCGGGCGGGGCTCCCCGGGCTCCCCGTGCCCCGGTCCGCGGTCACCCTGCGGGGACGGGCCGGGAGCAGCTGACGCGGAAAGCAGCCAGAGGTTCAGGGGTTCGGCACCGAGCATCCCAGGGCAGCCTGGAGTGAGCTCTCTCACAGCCAGCTTGGCCTTCCCGTCTGGACCTCTCGGGCATGGCCTCCTGGGATGCTCCTTGGGCATCCCTCCATCTGGAATGCTCTTTCATCATCCCTCCACCTGGGATGCTCCTTGGGCATCTCTCCGCTGGTGGTCGGCTGGAATAAAGTCAGGTGATCCTTTAATCTGTGAGAAGACCCTCTGCCTGTTTTTAACTGATTGCTTCCTCCTCTATAGTTGAGAGAAACATTTCTCCCCCGTGTCGTGTTTCTCCCATCAAAATTGCCCTTTGTCCCCGGGGTTGCTTTGCAGTCCAGCTGTCAACCTCCAAACCCTCAGGCCCATCTTCACACCCCTTGCCCTCTGCCCTGTCCCTTTGTGCCCACAGGTGAAGCTCCCATTGCCCATTTTTGCCCTGTGCCCTCCCATGCCGTCAGGATAAAGCCACTGCACACAGGTGTGTGGGAACAGCCCTTCTGGGAGCACTAGGCCTCTTGTCTCACACCCAGAATTCAGTATGGTTTTGGCTGTGCTGGTGCCTCCAGATGGGGTGGCTGGAAGGGCTCCTACTCTCCTGACATGGAAACACACTTGTCCAACACCATGCTGCGGGAGCTGGCTGTCCTCTGGGGGTCAGAGGCCGTGGGTGGCTCTGCTCTCTGCTGTCTCCTCTGCAGCTGCTCCAGAGCTGAGGTGCCCCCGGTTCCCCAAGGTGTTGGTTCCCCTGTGAAGCCACATCTTCACAGCCCCCACTAAAGCCAAGTGGCTTGTCTTTCAAAGTGTGGACATTGGTGGTGGGATGGGCACCTGCACATTGGCCGTGCAGGCTGCTCCTGGCCCCCAGAGCTCCCAGATGAACCCTTCCAGCTGCTCCTGGCCCCAGACCATGGCCTCGCTGTCCCCGTGCAGCACCGGTGGTCACAGAGACTGTGACTAGGGCCACATGAGATGTCTGTGGTGGAGAATGAAGGTGCTTCTGCTTGGTGGCAGGGCTGTGGCCTGCCCTCTCCCATGGTTGCTCCCTGATGTTCATGTCCCCTCATGCTGGGCTGGCCTGTCACCAGACTTATAGGAGCAGAGCAGAGGGCTGGTGTCCTGGAGGGATTGGGCAGAGGAGGCCAGCTCACTCCTTGCTGTTGCCCCACTGGTAGGGCTGGGGCCTCGCTCGGAGGTGCCGTGGGCTGGATGTGACATCCCTCGCCAATGGCATCCCCTGCTAGGCCTGTCGTGGCCCCCATCCAAGGCCACCAGTCTGTCCACAGTCTGCCCACAGGCTGCAGGCCCAACTCACTTAGACCAGACAAGCCGGTGAGGGGCTCAGTGAGTGCTCAGAGGCACAGTCTGGGAAAGCTGAGCTGTTCCTTGTTGCACTCCGAAACCACCACAGCATGAATGAGATTAAATTCACCCTGAGGGGATTCCCTGGCTGTGGGGAGTTCACTTCTGGTTGCAGCATCACTGAAAATAAAACTACTTCCCTTCCTGGCCCCAGAAGAGCTGCACCCAGGAGGTCTCGTTAATGTCACAGCAAGGACCGGGCTGGCTGTCCCCACGGTGACACCACCTACCAGAGGAGACAGAGAGGCAGGTGGGGTGATGGGTAATGTGGGCTTTCCTGCTCACTCCCTTCTCCCTTTCCAAACCCAGGAAACATCTCCTTTATGGAGGGGCAAGCTTGTCATCTTGTCTTTTCCACTTGGTGCTCCTCTTTTTCCCACCACAGGTGTGCAAGGCACTGCAGCCCATGAAAAGATTCATCCAGGAGCCCTGGATGGTGCCCTGAGCCCCTTGGTCCTTTCAGTGCCTGGCAGGGATGGTCTGTCCTCACAGCTGCCCCGGCAGCTCCGTGTGCCCGGCAGTGACGGGGGACAGGCAGGGCGTGCTCAGGTGTCCTCCTGGCCATGAAGGCAGCAGCTGACACTCGCAGAGATTCAAGGCACCTTTCAGAGCAAAAAAGAGACTTTTTCATCCTGATGAGCTGTGTTTGCTGCCCAGCAAACCCCTGCCCCACTTCTTTGCCATCTTGGAGCCAGGCACTGGGGCGAGTGGCTTCATTTCACAGTGGGCCTCATCTGCCAGAGGAAGCAAGGAATTAAAGCAGAGTCCTTCCTGCCATCGGAGCGGGTGAATGTCCTGAGGCCTCCAGTATGCAGGTTTGCTCCTCTCTGCCCTCACCATGCTTCCCTAGAGGTATTTTCTGTGTCCAGGCCACGTTTTGCTTTGCCTCTATTTTACTCAGGTGCTTTAGCTGAAACACAGCTCCACATAAAGCTGTTGGATTTTTTTAAATATTAATTTCCTTTTCTTCAGTCCTGCTGCATTTCAGAGACCTCTTTGTAAGTCAGAACCCCTTCAAGCGCAGCAGTAACTGTGGACCCATCACTGAAGACTGATGAATGGACTGAAATGGAGCAAAATTCAGGGGTTTTTTGTCCCTCTTAATCTCCAGGGAAGTCAGTTTGGAATAACTAGAGCTAAACCAAGGGATCAGTAAAATGACCGAAAGCAGCATCTGAGCCAGAAAGGCTCTTGAGAGCTGTGATCAACAGGGAAGGTGATAGCCATGCTGGAAGGGGCTCTGTGTAACATTAGTGCTGGGTAAACACTGCGATAAGAGTCCTGAGTTGCTCAATAACTCACATTTGTTTTCTCCCTGCTACCCACAAAGACCCAGATTCCTTTCTCAAGTCTGCACGTCTGCAGCGCCTGCCCTCATCCTCCTCAGAGATGGGAAGCCAGGACGTGTCCCCTCTTCAGGAGACCAGCAAGGACCCTTTCTCTGGAGACTGCAGCTGCCGGCAGGATGGGCTAACTGTCATCATCACCGCCTGCCTGACCTTCGCCACAGGTGTCACGGTGGCCCTCATCATGCAGATCTATTTTGGCGACCCTCAGGTAAGACAAAACTGTGGCTTTATAGTTGGGCTTTGGCTCCGAAAATAGGAGAAGCTCCTTAACTTTCCTCCTGTCCACAGTTTGGCGGGGTGAGTGCTGGTGAGCCACAGTCAGTGTCAGCAAGGCCCTGAGTGCTGAGTCTCTACCCCAAATTGTCTCAAAAGCTTTTTCCTGCACCTGGAGGTTGTGCTTGGAGAGCCAAGCTGGGCTCAGTGCCTGCCCCATGGCTGGGGTGCGAGGGGCTGTTTGGGGGTGCTGCTGGAGGGGAACAGACAGTCCCACTGCCACGACTCGGGGTGGGGGGTTGAGCCTGGTGTGAGTGCTTTCCCAAAACAATCCTTATTTAGACAGTAGGCATCTTGTCCACTTGGAGAGAGTTTTACGGATTATGAGCATAAATACCCAGGTTCACCTCTGGAAGATCCATCAAGGACCAAGCAGGGAAGTAACTGAAAACAGAAGTGAACCTTCTGCTAATGTGTCCCACAGCCCAGTGCTCGACTGCAGAGCAAAGGCAGGCCATGGGCTTGGATCTTCCTGCAGAATATCTGCCAAGTACTGCAGCCTGGGAAGGGTCATGGGCAGCCAGTAGTCACCATCTCCTTTGTACCACTGGGTTAAAATCAAGCTTTTAAAACATCCTGTGACTGCATTAGCACTGGTGCTGGTAGCAGGGAAGGCTGAGAGCAAATCACGGTACTAAGGGTGATGCTGCATTCTTTGTAGCTGTATTCCCATTCCCAGTGACCACCTGGCTGCAGCACAGTGACAGCACCCATTGGTCACCCATTGCTTTTGAGGATTAGTCTGACCCTGCTCTGGAGTTGTGGGAGACGGAGTTGTGGCTTCCCCAGCTTAGCTTGACTGCTATTGCGAGTTGTTTGAACTGACGGTGTGGCTGCATGCAGCTGCCCTGGAGCAGTGGTGTGTCAAGGGACATGTGGCTCCCACCAGCATTTGGAGGCACCTTAAAATGCGGATCAGCCACGGCCTTGGCTCTGGCCTCAGGCTTCGGGTGCCACATTGCTGGGTGAAGGTCTGGGCTGCGCTGGCACCGCTCCCAGGGCACAACCGCTCTGCTCTTCCGGCAGCTCTTCCACCGCGGCGCGGTGGTGACGGACGCTGCGCCCTGCACGGCGCTGGGCATGGCGGTGCTGGGCAGGCAGGGCTCCTCGGTGGACGCGGCCATCGCCTCGGCCCTCTGCGCAGGCATCGTCAACCCCCACACCTCGGGGCTCGGAGGGTAAGTGTTGCTCACTCGCCCTGTGCTGTCAGCTGCAGTTGTCCTCAAGGAAGTGGTTTCATAGAATCCCAGAATGGGAAGGGGCCTTAAAGCTCTTCTTCCATCCCTCTGCCATGGCCAGGGACTCCTTCCACTAGCCCAGGTTGCTCCAAGCCCTGCTCAACCTGACCTTGAACACTTCCAGGGACGGGGCAGCCACGGCTTCTCCGGGCAACCTGTGCCAGGGCCTCTCCACCCTCACAGATAGAATTTCTTCCAAATATCTAATGTAACCCTGCTCTCTGTCAGTTTAAAGCCATTCCCCCTTGTCCTGTCACTATCTTGTGAAAAGTCCCTCTCCAGCTGAGAAATGCCTTCATGGCAGCACGAGGTCCAGCGTGTAGTAGTAGGTCTCTGACATCAAGTGGTGGATGTGTCCTCATCTGCACAGGGGCAGGGACCCTTCCTGTGCACCTTGTTGACAGTGAAGGACAGAGACCCCCAGGGAGGGAAAAGCTCTGTCTGCCATAGTGGCTGCCAGGAAGCCCCAGGTTCAGGAGGCCTAATGAGCTCCACTGTGAGTGTGCCGGGAGCTGGCAATGCCCCAGGCTCAGTTCCAGTGCTTTCAGAGCCTGAGTTCTCCTCTCCATAAGCCGTGCTCCTGAGATCGGGGTCTGATACCAGCTCTAGGCAGCTGCCAGGGAGGCATGGCAGTGAGGGATGGCCTTCTTCCAGTCCTCATCCTCAGGGTGGCATCCACGTGAGCCTTATGCTCCTGGCTCTGCAGGAGGGCTCAGTAGCGTTGCATAAACCACGGCCATCTGATACCTGCTCCAGCTGCACTACCCATTGCTGGTGTAAACAAACACCCTCTTTTGTTGCAAAACTGCTCATATTAGAAAGAAAATCCCGGATTGTCCCCACCTGGCAGTGGAACAGAGCCAGTGGCTCCCTGGCCAGGCTGGCAGGGACTGATCCAACCTCACTAAGCTCAGCACAGGGCTGCCTGCATCCCACGCTGGCTCTGCCTTGGCTGTCCTGGTGTGTGCTCTGGGGAAGGACAGCGGCATTCCCCACACCAGCTGGGGCTGGTGACCTGCCACAGTGACCTGCCACAGTGACCTGCCACAGTGACCTGTCACTCTGGCCCCAGTGGCACCCGCACTCTTCACTTTGGCTACGGCAGCAGCTGTTGCAGGAACAGCCGGTGCCAGGCCCTGACCCCTCTCTCGCTGCAGGGGTGGGGTGATGCTGGTCCACGACATCCGGAAGAACAGGAGCTGGGTGATTGACTTCCGTGAGGTGGCTCCCCTGGGCATCCCTTTGGAAGGGGACCTGCAGCAGGACACCAAGGTGAGGACCAGCATCCCACAGCCATCCCTTCAGGGCTGCAGTCTCCAGCTCTCCTCCCTGCAATCCTCAGGCTGGGGGCAGATGCCCAGCAAAGCAACAGGAGGCCTCTCACAATCAGAGTTCTTGGGCTTTACAGACGTAGGGAATCCAGGGAAAATACTGCCTTATCAGCCTGAAAATGCCTGCAGGGCTTGGGGAGTAAAGAGGTGTGTCCCTCTGGCAGGGGAGAACCAGGAGAACAAGAGCTCCAAGAAGGAGCATAATCCCAGATCATCCCGCTGAGTTATTTCTCCTGACCAAACTGGGTTGAGAACAGGATTAAATTTGACTCTTTCCTTCTTTCCTTCCAAAACCTTTTATTCCCTAATTGTGTTGTTACAGACCTCTTCCTCTTTCCTAACTATGCAGATAGTTCCAAAGTGAGCATGACTTGCATCTCCTTGACTTGCATTTGGGGACCATGTCCTGTGTCCTCATGGAAAGGAGACTACTCTTCCTTTTTGTCCTTCCTATTTTACAGCCAGGTCTCCTCGTGGGGGTGCCAGGCATGATACAAGGAATGCACCAGGCACATCAGTTACATGGCAGGTAAGACATGAGGCTGGCACAGGCTGTGCCCTGGGGTCCCCACTGGGGAGCTGGGAGCACACAAGGCCTTGCCATCAGATAATGTTCTCAACCACCAGTCAAAAACATGAACTGAGGGGTACTTGGATGCTTGTGTTGAAAAAGATGTTCTTTTTTTTATACTTAATGTACAAAAGAAAGAATTCAGCTTGGTCAGGTGTTGTGCAAAGTGAAATTCTGGCTAACAGGACAGATAATAAATGCTCTCTTGGACACAGGCACAGCACATTTCCATGCATGTCTGTGTATTCTTATTCTCTCCTTAGCTGGATCCTAGAAACTATGGTTGCCCTTAGTGCCCCATTGGGATAGAGAGGGAGGGATCTGGATGACTTGCTCAGGGCCACAGCCTGGCTTGAGATTTGCTTCTGAGATGCCCCTTCCCCCATCCATGTACTGCCATTCCTCTCTGATGCACATCCTGGAGCACTGAGATGATCCTGTTAAGAAGAAACAACCACTGAAAGCTCAGTGCTCCTTTTGGCCACTGCTGTCCCCACAGGCTGGTCTTTTAAGAGCCCCTGACCATGGAGCTGAGCCCTGCACTTGCTCCCCACCACCCTACCCCACTGCACCCCCACGACATGTTTCTCCTTGTCCCTCGGCAGACTCCCGTGGGCTGAGCTGCTGGACCTCGCAGCTGGTGTTGCCCAGAACGGCTTTAACGTCACACACGATCTGGGTGAGTACCTGATGGGAAACCAAGGGTGACTGCTCAGCACAGGGCAGCCCACTGGCCACTGCACTGGGGTGTGAGGCAGCTGGGGTTACAGGTGGTTATTCATGGGAAACCAAGGCTCTTTGGACCTGGAGATGGATGATGTTGGGAGCTGAGCAGTGCATAAGCCACAGTCAGGGTGTGGTGGCAGCAAAAATGGAGTCTTTTGCTATGGCTGGTCAGAGCCAGGTCAGAGCAGCCCACACTGGGCAGCACCCAGGGTCAGGCAGGGAAGGGCACTGGGGTTTCTTTGTGTTTCCTTCACAGCTCCAGTGGATCCATGATCCAGACTCCCTCTAGTTTTGCAATAGGGCCAGAGGCAGCAGGAAGCCCCCAACATTCCCAGAGGGTGCACAGTGACTCCAGGACCCTGCACCTTCCTGATCCCTGCTGTTTCTGGATGTCTTTCCCCTTCTCACATGCAGCCAAAGCCCTGAGTGAACTGAAGGACCTGAACTACTCTAACCGATTCCGGGAGCTGTTCCTGCCGGATGGGCAGCCACTCCTGCCTGGCATGTTCGTCCGGCGCCTGGATCTCGCGGCTGTCCTGGAGCTGGTGGGGGCAGAAGGGGTGTCAGCCTTCTACAGCGGAAACTTGACCCAGGAGATGATCTCTGAGGTGAGCCAGGACCACCCCTCTCTCCTACCGGCCTGGGGCTGTCACGTGCTATGTCACCTGCTCAAGGTGACAACCTGGATGTAAGACAAGTGTCAGCACAATGATGAAGACAGATGAGCGGAACCTCCTTTTTCTTCTCTGTCCCTGTCCCTGCAGTGCTGTAAGTGACACACAGGCCATTCCCACAGCCCTCAGAAGTGAAACCTCCAATTCCTCTCTAACCAGGAGAGACTGTTTTTTTGAAGGAAAAAAAATCAATTTGAAGACCCCTCTGGGCTGTGTTCATTTAAGTGGCAACCCCTTTTCCTCCAGAATTAGAAGTGCCCCACTGTTGAGAAACAAGTTGTTTTCATTAATGGGACTATAAGATACAGACTCTAGGAAGACAGCTTAAAAATAAAACTGAGCCGTGTGAGCAGAGGATTAGACAGGCTTGGTCCCACATGGGGTTGCCCTAGATTAACTCCTGTTGTTAGATGTTACTCTGGAAAAAATATCAATGTCAAGCAAAGTAATTATTCTGTTAAAAAAAAAAAAAAAAACTGACCACAACTTTTATACCTGTGTGGCTGCAGTCAGGGTGGTTGGCAGCACTGTTTTTTCCAACCACCATGGTACAAGTGATGCACCTTCAGTATCTGGTGAATAATCTGGAGTGGGTTCACTCCGCTCAAACCTTAGACATTTGTGAGCTCTGTGTTTGGAAATATACAGTTCACCTGGGCCACAGCAGAGGTGAAGGATGAGGAACAGGAAAAGTCCCACACTTGTTAGCATCTCCTCAGCTAAACCTTGCTTTGTCACCACATTTGCCTGACCTGGGGCTGCTGCAGGGAAGCAAAAATTCTCCATGGAGGAGCAAGGCCCAGTGTTGCCACTCCCTGGCAAGCTCTGGGTTTCAGTGCACAATTCCAGCTTTGGCAGCAGAGCAAAATGCTGGCTTCCCACAGTGTTTATTGTTCCAGCACAGGGAGGACATCCACGTGGGGAAATCAAGCACTGCTCCAAAATGCCCCACCCTTTGCTTCCAGGCACAGGTGCAAAAAAAGTGCTCTCTGGGGAATTTGAGGTGGTGTCTGCAGCGTGTGGCTGACCAGGGCTTCTCCCCTTTCTGTGCCATCCTGCTCCTCCTGCCCTGGTCTCCACTGTCCGGGCTCCAAGGAAGCAGCTCCTGGCACAGGCAGTGGTGGCTCAGCACAGCCCCTGGGTTCAGCTGGCCTTTTCCCTGGGAAGGAAATGGGGATCTCAAGTAGGATAGACATCTTTAGCAGCTTTGGGCTAGTTTGACATGCTGGCCCCTCAACATGCCCTGCATTGGCTTTCTTCATCCAGTGATTCTTCCAGTTCTACCAGAGAACGAGTTTTGCTGCCAAGTAAGCTGGCTAGGTTAGAGATCACAGCACCCACAGGCAGTTTGTTCTTACCTTGTTTTTGAATGAGAATCCAGAGGACTTACAGCAGCAACTCACCCCAGCAGAACCTTTAAACCAGGCTGTGTGGCTTCTCCTGGATGGAAGAAAGGAGTTGGCCCATGAGCACAGTGACACCTGTGCACTGACAGAGTGTCACTTCCTTCAGGTTAAGATCAGCAGAGTGCAGCTCACAGAATCATGGAATCACAGACATCTTAAATTGGAAGTGATCTACAAGGATCAAGTCCAACTCTTGGCTCTGCACAGGACACCCCAACGATTCCACCCTATGCCTGAGACCGTTGTCCAAATGTTCCATAAGCTCTGGCAGGGTTGGGGCTGTGACCACTGCCCTGGGAGGGGAGCCTGTTTCCAGTGCCTGACCATCCTCTGCTGATCCTACCTCATCTCCATCATGACTCAACAACAGAAGACCTGCAGTGGAGGGAGTCACCCATCTTTACTATGTTCATGAAAAATTCCAGCCCTGGTACATTGTACCTCTAGGAGAGTCTTACAGGAAGACCAAGGCTACAGCAGACCCACAGTCACCTGAAATAATTTCAAATAGAGTAGGAATTGTGATTTTTTTAATTGAGATTTCTAGTGATGGCCACCTACTACACCCAGGTTCATTCTCTCCTGGATCTATATATAACTCTAAACATTAACACACTTGTGCTTGCCACCCAAGGCAGAGAAGACTGCAGGGCAGTGCCAGTCCCCATCTTCTAGGTAGGCAGAAACGTCTTCAGAGCACCCCTGAGGTGGGTGAGCTGTAGAGAATGCAGAGAATGGTGAGCCAGGCCAAGGCCATGAAAGCACAGATTTGCAGGTTATACCAAAGAATGTGGCACTTGGCTTGGGAATCTCAGTGGTGTTTGTTTGACAGTGAGGTGTGAGTCCCTCTGACCCAGCATGAGGAGCACAGAGAGCCTTGACCGAGCCTGCTCAGTGTGTGCTGCTTTACTCTCATGCAGGTCCACAACTATGGTGGTGTCTTGGTGGAGGAAGACTTCAGCAATTACAGTGTCACAGTGGAGGATCCCATCCACACAGTCTATCGAGGTAAACCCTGACCCATTGTCATGCAACTCCAGGTAAATGTTTGCTTCACCTGGCAAGAGGTGCCAACAGCATTTAACAAGAGCTGAAGTCAAAGCTGTGCTGAGGTGTCTGCAGAAAGTCCTTCTGTGCAGCTTCCTGCTCTTACCTGCTGACAGTGATGCACTGTGGGTTCAGGAGGTTTTCAGCATTTTGAAATGTTCTTTCCCATGATAGTGACCAGTGGTATTTTGATAGTGTTAAAGTGTGACCATGCAACATGGTTCATCTTCTTCATAAGAAACTGGATCATAGGCCAGCACCTACATCTGAACACAGTTCCCAAACTTGAGCTACAAGGGAAAAAAGCTGACTTTATGCAAAAAGTTTCTAAAATGTCTTTCTTTTCTAGTAATCCCTGTATTTACTTTCCTTATAGCTGTAATGTTGCAAACCTGTTTTATACACGGCCTTTCAGTGCTTAAGGGGACTCATAAAAAGAGGGGAAGTGACTTTTAACACGGGCAGATAGTGATAGGAGAGTGGGGATGGTTTCAAACTAAAAGAGGAGACATATAGAAGCAATTCTGTAGTTAGGAAACAATTCTTCCCTGTGAAGTTGGTGAGGCCTGGCACAGATTGCCCAGAGAAGCTGTGGCTGCCCCATCCCTGGAAGTGTCCAAGGCCAGGTTGGACAGGGCTTGGAGCAACCTGGGCTGGTGGAAGGTGACCCTGTCCATGGCAGGAGGTTAGTGTTGAATGAGCTTTAAGGTCCCTTCCAACCCAAACCATTTCATGATTCTGTGATTCTGTTTTCATGTTTCCATACTACAGTCCAGAAATCAAAAGCCAACCAATATGAGCTGAATCTCAGATGTTAAAAAAGTGTTCCTATTTGGGCTTCTTTAATCCTTCATAAAGAAAGAGCAAGATACAACAGGAATGTTCTGAGAAATCCTTCTCAAATCATATTGCTTTCTGTTATTTCCCTTTGAATCTGGAAAGATTTCCCTGTCCTCAAGGACACTAGCTCAGAGAGTGTTCTAACTGGACAGTATCTGACAAAAGCAGCTTCATTCCTCTCTTCTTTCCTCCACAGGTCACCTTGTTTTCAGCCCCCCACCTCCACATGCAGGTCCTGCACTGATCACAGCACTGAACATCCTCGAGGGCTTTAACATCACAAGTAAAGGATCCAGGGGGAATAACTTGCACTGGATAGCAGAGGTAAGAAGAGGTTCAATGATTGGCTGAATTGCTTGTGCTGCTAGAGAAAAATTTATTTATTCCTTGATTGTGCAGAAATGTTCATAGGCAATTCCCACAGGAGAGGGAGCAAATAGACTGCTAAGGTGTAAAACTGAGTGCTGCTACTGTCTCAGCAAGGCGCAGAGGCTGGAGCCTCCTACTCAGCTGAGCTCTTTCTTGTTCAGGCAGAGCTTTTTCAGAACAAACTGTAGCTTTTGCTCATATGCAGTCATCTCTTCAGAATGACCCCACAGCACCTGAGGGTGGTCCCATCTAGTTCCTCCACCTCTTGGCTCCAATGGCTCTGACCATTCCAGAGCACCTAAAGGCACTGCAAGGAGTGCTGCAAGCAAAAGCCTATACGTGCTGATGACAAGGAGAACTGACCCAATACTTCATATTTTAAAAAAATAGTTACATTTTTACCCACCTCATGATCTCCGTGGTCCAGAATTTTCCCAGTATTTAGGACTGTCAGCCCTGCCAAAACATTAAGCTTCCCAGGAGGTCAAACAATTGCTTTGGCACTTGCTCCATAAGCAGAGTTATGCTCTGAGATGCTTCACAGATCCACAGCTGGGCTTTATGAGTTGGGAATTTCAGTCAAGGATTTAACCACATCCCTGTAGCAGGCAGGACATCAGGTGCTTGGAATTTATTATTTCTTAGCAAAAAGACAACAACTGGAGGTGTTTGTCTCAGGATAATGAGACAGAATCATTAGGAGGGCGGGATGTGGGAAAACCAACCAACAACTCCTCCCTCTGAGTAATTATAACTTTGAAATTAAGAGGCTTCAGTCGAAAGGTGTGGAAAAGAAAAATAACAGCTATTTATTAAAGGAATATATATATATAGGTAACACAACAAAAAACCAAGCAACAATTCCATAACCGAACTTCCCCCAAAGCCATCCCGTCCTCTCTGCCTGTCGGCGCAGGTCCCACACGGGGCCGAGCGGGAGGAGCGGGAGAAGCGGAGGGGCGGCTTCCCGCCGTGGACTCACGCTGGCGAAGGCTGGCTCCGGCTGTGGATTCCCTTCCTCGTCAAAGGGTGCCGGCTGCTGCCGTCACGGGAAAAAAAAAAAAAAAAAAAAAAAAAAAAAAAAAGAGGGGAAGGGCGGCCCTTCCCCCCAAGGCTCCCCCACACTGGCTTTTCCATGAATTCGAGGCAAATCCAGGCAGTAGAGCAGAGCAGAGTGCGGGGATTCAGGTGCGAAACGGGATCTTCCTCGAGGGCAGAAGAAAACCAGCCCCGCGTCCGGGAAGACGAGCTCCGACCCCTTCCCCGCACCGCGCCCCGAGAGCTGCAGAAACCAAGACCCCCCTCCGAGGGAAAAAGAAAGGAGGAGGAAAAAGAACCCACCAAACCTGAGTTCTCCTTTCGCGCCCCTCCCCGCCCCGGCCTCGGGTAGAGGGAAACAAAAGAGTCCTTGCCGAGAGAAAGTCGTTAGCGTTTCAATAGGGCACTCACAAGGTCTGAGCCAGCGAACCATAAAGCCTGAGCCTTACTCCACCCCGGCCAGGTTGGTGTGGAAAAAATTCACCAGAAGCTGAAAAAGTAAAAGAAAAACTATTAAAGCGTTGCAGACTGCCAGGCCTTTGCAGAGGCACAGTTTTACTCACCTGGGCTATTTTGAGCTCTCTTCAGGAAGCTTTGGGTGAGTCTATTTGCTCTGCATTTACAGCAGGCCAAGAGTTTCACCTGTTGGTTATCCTGGAACAGCAACCTCCAGATCAAAGGCAGTCACTTCAGGAGATGTGTAACCCTGGTTACTTGGGGTCACACAGCTGAACACCTGGCTGAGGCTCAGTGCTAGGCCAGCACAAGTATCCAGCCCTGGAACAGCCAGGATCAACATGTCCTTAACCTGTGCCTGAGGGATGGAAATGCTCTGCTTGTTTCAGTGGAGCTCTTCCTTGGCCATCAAGCCCTTGTACATCCCTGTATGGTGTGATGGTCTGGAGACTGCTGCATGGAAACACCACCTTCTCCAGAAGTTAATCATGTTCTGCACTCTGCAGGAGTAAATAAGAGAAGCTGTTGCTCCGTGGCACATTCCAAACCACAGTCACACCTCACTGTCTGCCTGCAGGGGAATGGACTGTCTTGAATCTTTGAATGACCGTGGCAAGACCTGCGAGCTGAAAGTCAAGTGTATTTTTGCTCCGCACAGGCTGGCTCTGTTGATGAGCCTCACTCCATGTGGTTCTCCTATGGCTATGATGTAATCCTAGGGCTGGATAAACTGTGTCTTTTGAAATTGCATCTTCCCATATTTAATCAACTGGCTTAGGCAGGATTCTGTATGTTTGAGAAACCAGATCCCTTCCTGCTTTCACACCATCATTTCCTGAAGTGTGCTGGGACTAATGCTTTGCGCTCAAACACTTGGAATGGCTTACAGCTAGGAGCCGGGGAGCAGCTGCTGAGCAGAACAGCTCATTTCTGCTCAGCACTGATGCTGTGCCAGCAGAACTGGCATCCAGAGGCAATAGTGAGCCTAGGACCCACTGTTCTGTTGGGATTCAGTCTGGTCTTTGCTGTTGTGGTGACCACTTGGGAATGGAAGTAGAAAGTAAGTGGTGTCCTGGTGCCCCTGTCTGCCAGCTGGCAATAAAGCTGAACCACTGAGCTGGGTGTCAGCTCTTGCCAGGTATGTTCCATTTGTGGCTTCCTACTGACAGAGGGCAGGGTTAGATGAGATGTTTGGAAGAAATTCTTGGCTGTGAGGGTGGGCAGGCCCTGGCCCAGAGAAGTTGTGGCTGCCCCATCCCTTGAAGTGTCCAAGGCCAGGTTGGACGGGGCTTGGAGCAACCTGGGCTAGTGGAAGGTATCCCTGCCCATGGCAGGAGTTGGAACAAGATGGTCTTTAAGGTCCCTTCCATCCAAACCAATCTCTGATTCTGTGATTGTTGAAACACTTCTGGACATGCTCAGCTCCCCCAGCACATTTTGCCTTCCCTTCCGTTCCCTCCTCTCAGGTCTCCTCTCCTTCCTCTCCTTTCCCTCCACCCCCTACCCTCACTTTCTGCTCTCCTCTTTCTCTCCTCTTCTCTTCTTTCTCCTTTCTTTCTTTTCTTTCTTTAGACATTAAAAATAGCCCTGAGTCTAGCGAGCAACCTGGGAGACCCATCTGGTGACATGTCCGTCGCTCACACAGCAGAAGGGATGGTGAGGTAGGTCTGAGGTGACTGGCACAGTGACAGTTGTGAGATGTGTGGTTGATGTCATTTCTGGTTTTGCTGTGCCCTGAGCTTTTTCTCTTTTTTTTTACTGAGGAAAGGTCAGTCTCTGAGTGCCTTCTCAGGGCTCACTCTTCCACAAAGATCACAGCTGATGCCCCAGGGCTCTGGGGATGGGTCACAGGATGTCCTCACACAGAGGTTTGCTGGATCCAGCTTGAACCTGAAGGTTCCTTCCACTTCCTCACACCTCTAACTTCCCCCTCAGTGGGTCTGACAAACAGCCATGACCATGGGCATAGGCATGGCCAGAAAAACTATTTCTGCCTCTCCCTGCCCCACCATAGTGGTCAGTGCCTTGCAGAATGCCCAGATGTGTGGGAGAGACCAGGCCTGGGGTTTCAGCCCAGCCTCTCACCTCAGAATCAAGTTCAGCCATGGTTGGTGCCCAGAGCTGGTCCTGAAATGCCCTCCTCCTGAGGGCTGGCGTTCGGCTGGGAGTGCCACCTTGTCTTTTGGGGGTGGGTTTACTTCTGATGGGGGTAAACATGGGTAGACAGAGCCTTTGAAGGTCCATGGCATTGCCTCTCTGCGTACTGAGCCATCTTGTCTCCTTCCATGGGGTGAACCGAAGGAGCTCCTGTCCCAGTGCAGCCCCTCAGGGAACACTGCAGTGCACACACTGTGTAGCTGTATCCTGCAGAGAGACCAGGACATGTCCAGCTTCCCAGGCTCATGGCTTGCTTCCTTCTCTCTCTCCCTCCTTGCTGAAGTAAATCAGAAGCCAGTTCCCTCCGCCAGCTGATTAATGACTCCCAGTCCTTCCCGTCTGATCTCCGCATCCCTCACTTCTCCGTGGAGAGCGGCCCTGCTGCCAGCCAGGTCCTTGTCATGGGACCCGATGACTTCATCGTTGCAGTTGTGAGGTAAAGGATTTACTTCTTCCCTCCACAATGTGCTCAGGGAGCGGGAGCAGGAGAAGAAAGCAGGTTCAACAGGGCAGGATGGGACCAGCCCTGGAGCAGCTTGGCTGTTCTGTCCCAGTTAGTCCTGCAACAGAGCAATGGGGAAAAAGGGGTGGAGATGTGTGGAGTGGTGCTGCTCTGCACAAGCCTATAGCCTTCTCACATTGAAACAGGGCTGGAGGGGCCCAAATCTGCTGGGGAAGAAATGCTGACCAAATCTGAGGACGATGTGGGCATGGAGGAAGATCCATCACATCAAGGGGAATCCTTAAACACAGGGAGGGACAGAGCTGCTGTGGCCCACATAGTTCCTACTCCTAAGTACATGGAAACTATCACTCCTCACATCTAACCAGCCCTAAAGAACCACTAAAGAGTTTCTATCAAGCCAAGAATGGGATGAAGGTTGGAGCCCTGAAAACCTCAAGGTGTACAAAAATCTCTGGGATGATTTTTACGAGATTTCTTTGTTTCTTTTCAGTTCTTTGAATCGTCCCTTTGGCAGTGGAATCGTAACACCCTCTGGAATCCTCCTCAACAGCCAGATGTTGGACTTCTCCTGGCAAAATAAAACAATGAACCACTCCATTTCCAGGCCGGTAATGACAAATTCTTTATTTGGGCTACCTGCATCTTTTTTTTTTCTTTCAATTTTATTCTCATCTTCACAACAGGGAGCCTTACTGATATCTGAGAGACAATAGTCTATAGAAAGCTGCTATTTTCATTGTATGAGCACTGAAAGAGGAAACTTAAGGCTCCAGTGTATCAGTTATCATTACAATGCAGTTTTACCAAGTGATACTGTTACCTATTTTCCCTGCGGTCCGGATGTACTTTAAGCAACTGTGTGCACTTAATGAATTCAGGAAATGTTGCTCTGCAGGTTAAAAAGTAACATATAGCAGCAAAAAAGTCTTCATGTCTTGGAATGCAACAATTATAGACCTGGTGGCTTTCAGTGCTACCTTATGTATTGTAAAACCATCCCACTTTGCTGGGCTGGTACTTTCAAAGTGGGTGACTGGCTCCGTGCTCCCTCTGTAAGAGAGGGCTTGTTGACATTTTCGGGGTGTCTTTTCTTCAACTGCAGCAAAATCTCGTTCAGCCTCGGAAACGGCCCCTGTCCTTCCTGCTGCCCACCATTGTGCGGCCTTCTGAGGGCATGTGTGGGACCTACCTGTGTCTGGGGGCCAACAATGGGGACAGAGCCTTGAGTAGCATCGTCCAGGTCAGTGCTGTGTCTTCTTAGAGTACCTGCTGAGCTCAAGGCTGAGTAGGGTCCCCTTGCCACAGTGCAGCCTTTCCCTTCCTAATTGTCCCAGGCTGTGTCGAAACTGGTGGCCACAGGATTACCAGATCAATCTTTGATGCCACCACTTCTGCACTTTTGGTGTTTCAAATCTCTAAGAGCTACCAGTTTACTTCTCTTGCACCTTTCCTGGTGGCACCACTCATGGTTGTAGAGGAGAAGCATTTTGTCAAAATCTGTAATGGTTTTTGTCATTCAGTATCTATTCAAAGCTCATTTTAAGGATCATTAAGAAAAAAAGGAACACTTTGTATTCAGAGAGTTGCAGGAAACTGGCACCCTTTAGCCCTTTTCCCTATGAAAAGTTCCTTTTAGTGCATTCCTGAATGAATTCCTCCCTGCTCAACACTTGCTATAAATTGGGCAGCTCCTCTTAATGTATGATTTGTAATGAGGGGAAGTACTTGCCAACAGCTTGATTGCATGTACATTTTTTTTAGCTAAAAAGAAAGGTACAAGCATAGCTCCCAGTTTCCTTACCTTTTGGAAAGCATTATTCAGAGCAAAACCAAAGCCAAGCATTGCTTCCTGGTGCTTTGTTTGGAGAAGGCATGTGCTGAGCTTTTGGCTGTAAGAAACACTTATTTACAGATTACATCATGTTCCAGACACACAACTCTGCCAGTTTGGCAGGACTATGTGACAAAAAGCCCATGCAATCCTGAAAATTTTCTGCTTTTCCACCAACAACATACAGGCCCTATTTTAAGGACCTCTTAATGTGTGCATGCAGTTTGGTAAATGGTTGAAAATCTTCTCTGCTGCTGCATCTGCAGATGGTTGGAGCCACCAAATTATGGGATGCTTAGGAAGTTGGTCTCTCCTATTCTTGCCACTTTTTTTTGTTACTGAGGGTATTCTATTCTCTTGCAGGTTTTGGTAAATGTTTTAACGTTTCACAAGAATCTGAGTGAAAGTTTGTCACTTGGTCGACTTCACCCACAGCTTCAGTCCAACACCTTGCAGGTTGACAGTGAGTATGGACAGTGAGTGGGGTGCAGCCTACCAGTCCAGTGTGTTTGGGAAAAGGGTAGGATTTTCTTGGCATGCTGCTATGGAAGTGCCGCAGCCCAGAGCACAGCTCACCGTGTTCCAGGGTTCCCACGGCTGTAGAGGGTTTGGGGGGAGACAGAAAGCAGAATCCAGCTTCTTCAAAGCCTGAAGCCCTTGCTAAGCTATGCCTTCTCCATCCTGGAAATGCTCCCTGGTTTGTGCAATACCACCAGTCCGAGCTTTTTCAGGTGCTTCTCCCCAGCCTTCTTCTCTGTCCCTTCTCCCTCCTGGTAGCAGCCTTGTCCTGTCCTTAAAACCTTTTGGCAATCTAATGCCATTGAGGATACCCAAATAAACACCAGACAGGTTCTGAAAGCTTCCTACATCTTACTGTCACTACCATAAATTATATTGCTTCACTTTCCATCCCATGTCCCTTAATTCCAGCAAATGGGGAGAAGACAAGATTTATGGCAATGTTTGTGGCTTGACAGTGCTGGAAGTGCAGCATCAGTGCTGGCACTGAGACTGTACTGTCAGTTCCTGTCCTTGATATTGCAAGTCTTGGTCTATTTGATGTTTTTCACACAGCCTGGTACCAATCAGAGCAAACCATAATTAACATTTGGTTCTCATTTCACACCAAATAGCCAAAGTTTCTGAGCTTTCCCATTTCAGAGGAAAATCTAAAAAGGGGTCTGCCTAGTGTGACCTGCAGACTTGAAAACTAGGATGTAATTAAAACAAATTCAAAACTTGAGAAGGTCCTAATTTGTGGGTTTGGACATTTTAGCATCAATAAAGTACATGTTAAGACACATGTGCAATGTATAGAGCTGAAACACTGGTGGGGTTTCTGTGTGCCTGCTCAGTTTTGTCCAGCTGGATCCACAGCTCCATGACCTCGGGCACTTCTATTCATACAGAAATTACAAACCATCAAATGAACAAAATAAAAGCAAAAGAGCAGCAGTCTAAGGTAGATGCCTGGAAGATTAAGAAATACGTGCAGGGCAAGTTGGAAGGATTAGCACACAATTTATCATTTGACAACTTGTTTTACTGTTGTTTGGTTTCAGCTGCCTTGCATTTTATTTTGACTAAAAATTGCTAATATTTGTATTTGTAACTAAGAATGGGCATTGCCTTCTCTAAGAATAACTACATTTGTTGCCAACAATGTATTTTCCCCTTTTTCCAAAGAGGACAATCTTCCACATCCTTAAATGGTCTTGTAGATCCTCTCACACCCCACAGCACAAAGCAGGGGCCCCTTGACCCTTGGCTTGCCCAGCTGGAACCTTCTGAAGGGGCTGCAGGCAGGTTCCTCCCCACACCAGGTCCCAGCAGGGTTAGACACAGCTTTGCATCAGAGGCAACACTGATTGCAGTTACAAACTCCTCTTTTAAAATCCCTACAGGTGAGTTTCCTGAAGAAGATATAGAATTTCTTGTAGCCAGGGGCCACCAGGTGGATAAAGTCCCAGTGGTCTCCCTAGTTCACGGAGCCAGGAGAACCAACAGTTTCATCATTGGCCTGAAGGACCCCAGGAGTGCAGATGCTGCTGGAGCCACAATATTGTAGCACCTCCCAGGGGAAGCTGTTCTCTGAGCAAGGCTGACACACCAACCCAAGTGATGTGCATGTTCTGAAGTGGCCTCTTCTCCAGCCCTGGGGGAGCCCCACCCAGACGTTCTGCACTTGCCACCCTGAACGGCACCAGGGAAGTCAGCAGGACCCACATGCAGCTCCCAGATCTTGGTTTTCTTTTATTTTTCAATTATTTGTATTGCGAGCAGCCCAGTCCTTGTTACAGGAATGGCAGGAGCACACTTTTCTTTTGGCAAAATCTTGCCAGTAATTTCAGTCTTTCCAAAGCCAAGTTCTAGAACATTAGCAAAGATAAAAACAGTCGATGATGATGCTGTTATCTTCAACCTCCCTGTCTTTCCCAAGTTCCTTCTTTGCCTCCAGTATAAGCCAGTGACTAATACAGCCTAATGCAGTGTTTGTAGGTGCCTGCACTGGAATACCAGGGAGTCCTTTAATACTCTGCCTGGATCAGCTGATTTTTACCAGCCTGCAGCCTCCTGGGGAAGCTCCTGTACCCACATCACTACATACCTTGAATTTTGGCAGTAAATATTTTGAACCCAATTGCTTCTCAGGCTCACTGGTATTCTGCTTTTGAAACCAGAGCAATGGTTTTCAACAGCTCTAACAAATTCTTCTTCTAACAACTTGTACCCCCCCCCCAATAGTTTTCTTGCAGAGGTTCAGCCTCCTCCATGGTAGATTTGAGTTTAGTGGTAATGGGCTTAATTTTCTTAGACATCTTCTGGAGATATTCTAGCAGTACTCCACAGACTGAGTGTGTGAAAAACCACACACCATGGACTGCAAACCACATGGAGAGCATTTGGGTACATTCAGGGCCTTCCTTCCACTGCCTTATCTCAGTCTACTCTGAAAGCTGAAATCGGGTCATTCCTATAGAGCAGCTTGGGATTTTCTGCTGACTGAATTCATGGCAGTGCTCTAGCTCCATGTTTTTGGTACTGGTGAGTCCATGGGAACAGCTGAAGAGAGTGAGAGAAAATGCACAAACCAATCCAAACACTACTGAGATCATTTTCTGTCTGCAGCATGTAGTGAAAATACAAGAATGCTTCTGCATTTCATGTCTGAAATCAAGTGAAGAAAGAACACCCCAGCTGACAGCTGCACCACTTCAGTGAGCCCATGTTTCGACATTTCCTGTTCTTTTTACTGGCAAGTTAGAGACACCTGGCACTAAAAAAATTCCTGAGTTTGATCATTTTCTGTGGTCTAAAATTTGTTGATTTCCTTCATGGTGCAAATGCATCTATGGCCACTGTACATATTATATATGTATGTCTGCTTATGGTTCTCCTGGTCCTTGATTTGATGATCACACCAGTCATGCCTGACCTTCCTCCCAAGGGTCCCTGTGACACCCACCTGTTTGTAACTCACCCTCTGACACTTGTGGCCATTGGACATGGGGAGCAGGTGGGTCATTTTGTGGCAGTTGGGGCCCCATGGCAGATAAATCAGACTAATCATTCCTGCCACCCCCCAGCTGTGGATCTCAGAACATCCTATGTGGAGCCTCACATGTTGAGCTGAGTAAGGACAGAGGTGTTTCCATGCTCTGCTGAAGCACAGCCACCCCTGAGAGGAGCATGGCAGCTCCAGCCAACGGCAACACCAGCCGTGTTTGCTGTTCCGAATCCGTACCCTCAGCTGGGATGGGGTGCAGCACCTCAGAGCATTGTCTTTGGGACACTGTGTTCTGTGCCACCAAGAAGAGACTTTCTTCACCACAGGGACATCAAATCTACTTATTTGTTTTTCTGTCATCAGCACTAGAGTTGGTCACTGCCCGAAGTTGGAGTTTCGTAACGCTTTATGTGTCCTGGAGCAGACCTTTTCAGGCTCCACAGGAAGGGAAGGAGGCAGTTCTGTGTGTTGAACCTCACTAGGGGAGATCTGGCTGTTTCTGGTCCAGACCAGGTCTGTCCCTCTGGCACAAGAGGTTCACTGTGCACAGCTGCAAAATACGTGATCAATCGTCACAGCAATACTTTGCATGAAATATCACAAAACACTTTGAAAGATGAAATTCCTCCTAATTAACTGAATTCATCAACTTCCAATGCTGGAAACTGTGTGTATGTTTGGCAGTAAAAGACTTTGGTCTAGATTCAAAAGGGCATTCACATGCCCCAAGGTACAATTTCACAGCAATTATTCAGAATCTTAAAATAAAGCATGTTCCAAAGTGCTCTGCTGGATCATGGCCTATGTTGCAAAGAAGAGAAAATTCAAAATAATTGGAAGGTGGCACTTAGGTCACAACTAAAGGTATTCTGAATTATTTCCCATTTTCTCTGTTTAAAAGCAGCATCAGTATAGCACAGATGTATTTAATATGGAAACCCTTAATCTGCTAATTGACCTCATGACTCTGGTACTTGAGCCCATCTATTGTGATGAGCCTTGATGAATTCAATGTGAGGTACCAAGAAACACCTGATGTTTCCTTCACTGCAGGTGAGATGGACATTGTGAAACAAAGGGCTGTATTCCAGAGACGTGTGTGTGCAGAGTCCCTGTGCTGATTTCAGCCTGGCCCTTGCAGGCATGTGGCAGCTCTGAAGCAGAATTTGTGCTGAAAGTTTGACACAGAACTGTCAGTGAGCAGCTCAGAACACAAAATACAAAGGGGCTGAGAAAAACAACAAAGACAGTTTTTAAAGGAACAAAATAAACAGAAACAAAAAAAATTAAAAAAAAAATAGATGCCTTTGCCAAATATGACAATATGTCATCTGGAACGTGATCGGCTTGTTCTGCCCAGGTTGCATTGTCCCCATCGATGCACACTGGTTTTACATGGGGATAAACTGGAGGCAGGCCCTGCTGCTGAGGGTCAGCAGTTTATCAGTGTTCCTCCCAAGGGCTGGATGCCCCTCACCAGCACAGGTAACAACAAACTGCCCTGCTGCCTGTAGGTGCTGCTGCTCTCCTGTGTGCATCGAGCACTGATTGCAGGGGTGAAAGCCCAAAGGAGGGACAAGGCAGAAGCCGGTGCTGCCGTCTTGCAGCTGGGGGGGTGAGGATGCTCTGGCCCTTGGCTGTGCTATTTTGTTCCCATCACTGTCCCATTCAGTGCCCAGGCACAAAGAAGAGCTGGAGCCCACCTTGGTCCCACCACTCTGGATAGGGCAGGTGCTGCTGGGATTGTCAGGGTGGTGCCACTCAGGCTTCCCCACTGGCCCTGGGCACGACGACCTGCTGAAGAGCAGCCCTGGGCACACAGGGCGTTCCTGCCCTCAGCAGTGTGTCCTGCTCCATCTCTCAGGGGACTGGGGACTGTCAGGGGCAGATGAAGGCAGAGAGATGCTGCTATAGGTGGGACAGTAGATTCTGGTCCCCGGGCTCCAAGGATGATGACCAGCATCCTGCAGCTCTGCCAGTGTCTCTCTGAGGGTCCTTCAGCTGGGGCAGCAAGTCTGAAACTGCCCATTCAGTGTCAGCTGTTCAGCTGCTGCCAGGGGACCTTGGACCCTCCAGGTGCCTACTTGGTCCCCTTGTCTGGACCATCTCAGAGCCTCCTTCCACCTGCTGCCCAACCCAATAGGACTGACCCAGGTCACTCACTGGCTGGAGAGAAAGGGGAGTCAGGTCTCAGTATGAGAGCTTTCCTCCATGAGAGGAAAACTGCACCTCTTTTATGAACATCAAAACCACTTAGAGTTTTGTAAGGTTTTGCAAAGAATCAGGTGGAGTGGGGAGAGCTCCTGTAGCACCCAAGTGTTTTCAGCAGTTTTGGAAACTTATTCTAAACTACAGTGATGGAAATTTGCACCTAGCCAGAGAAAGGAGAGCTCTAAGAGGCAGAGCTGGTTTTGGAGAGGCAGGGAAACATCTAAAAATGAAGCACATCTGTGCAGAGGGCAGATGGAGCAGGAGTACCAGAGCACTGACACACACTGTCCACAAAGGGCTCTCCAGCAGCCACAGCATTTTCAGGTGCAGATTGTCCTGTCAGAGCTGACCCTGCTGCCTGGGGGAGCCTCCTGTGTGACAACAGTTCCTGAGCAGCCATGGAGCTTCTCCCACTGGGACTGTTCCCAGCATAGCTGGAGCTCCATATCCTCGGTGTCGAGGAGGAGAGGACAACTCCTGTGTACCCCCATCCTGCCTATCACATCTGTGGTCAATTGCCCACCTCTCTCTTTCTCACTGCACTCACAGTTCAACAAAATTCTAGGTCAGAAGTGACTGTGACTGCAATGCAACAGATCCCCATTCCTTCTCTCCAAGTGAGCATTGTACCGGTGTTAGAGGAGAAATTATTTTATTCAAGTAATTGTATAATATTTAAGTTTGGAAAAATCTAAAGCTGGTCATGAGTCTACCTACTTTTCCTGTATAATAACTGTCCTTTGAAAATACTGTCACATGAAGTGTGTGCAAATAAAACACAGTTTTGATCGCCGTGGTATCAAATGCATTTCTGTTCTGTTGCAGGAATGAAGCAGCTCAGACAACTGTCTCTGCTGCAGGTAGCCCTCCTCTGCAGGTGACATGGTATTAGTGTGTATCACTGGGTTTGCAGCAAAGCTTCAGCACCCAAAACCATCTGAGGGTCTGCTCGTGGAGGAGTTCCACAAACAGAGTGACAGGACAGATTTAGCTCCAAAAGTCACAGAATCACAGAATGGTTTAGGTTTGGAGGGACCTTAAGGATCGTTCAGTCCCAACCTTCTCTGCCATGGGCAGGGACACCTTCCACTAGACCAGGTTGTTCCAAGCCCCATCCAACCTGGCCTTGAACACCTCCAGGGATGGGGCAGCCACAGCTCCTCCTGGGTTGGTTACGGTGTATAGAGGCTGGGCCAGATCCAGGAATATCCAAGTCCTCCCGTGTGGATCCAGGCTGTGCAGTATGCTCAGCTCTGCAGATCAGCCTGCAGCACAGCTCCCTGCAGGACATGCCTGTGTGGGTGGGCAGCAGGAGACCAGGGTGGCAGTGCTGGAGCTGTCCCATGTCTCTACCCTCTTGCCCCTCCTTGTTATTCCCTTCTCCCCACTGCCAGCTGACTCTTGGTCTCCTGTCATATGTCTTTTTTTGAAGTGGCACTCTGATATCTCCGTGCCAGTGTGGGGAATATCTTTGAGGGAAGATCAGGCTGCAGGAGGAAGTTTGGTGCAGCTGGGTTAAGAAGGGTCTCATAGAGGAAAACACAAAGACAAGTGAGGAAGGAAGGTAATTCCTGGGTACCAAAGAAAGCTTCTCCCAGTTTCTTTGAGTTTCCAGCCTGACTCAGAAGCCAGGAGCAGGGCAAGGCAAAGCCTGGGAATCATCCATGCTCCGGCAAACGGTTGATCAGAAGTATTGACAAAGGGTGATCAAAATATAAAGCAATGATACAAGATTGTAGCCTTAGTTGCTTACTAGCTAATTTTTAGATAGAGTTCGGATAGGGCCTTGCTTGCTTATGCTAACTCACAGAGAGGATATAGTTAGACTTTAGCAGGAACAGAAAACCTTGGAGCTTCGGTAAGGGGCTTTGAAGCTCAAGAGAAGGGACCTTGAAGGTTGATAAAGAGAAGCTCCTGGAGATGATACCAGTTTTGAGTTAACTGGAGTGCCAACTCAGCAGTTCTTAGCAAAGGTAGAGAGTTCAAGCTGAGGAAGACTTCTTACTTCATCCAAAAGACTCCCGAAAAAAACCCCCAAGGGGGCATTCCAAGGCGGAGTTATAGGAGTGGTGGATGTTAATGATTTCCCCATGGGTGTGCGTGATTGGAGGAATTATCCCCCATGCACCCGGCACTGTGAATAAACACATCTTCTGCAACACTCTTTGCAAGTTTGGGGGTTTGTTTCTGCACATCAGTAAAACATTCCTCTTTATTACCCCTGTGACTGAGCCCCATCTCCTCTTCTGACACCTCTGGGGGTCGTGGGGGGTTGGGGAAGGTGTTAGAGATGGGTCCCTATCCCAGAGACTGCGGAAGACACAAAAAGGCATGAGCAGAACAATCCTCGAGTAAAGGATTCCTCTCTGTCTAACAGCAGGGAGCTTTAGAGCTGCACACGGGAAGGAAACAGGCAATCTGCCTGCAGCTCTGCACACACCAACCAGATTTAATTATTAAGATAAGTCCTATACTAACCATGATGGTACTTATTTAGTTTTGGTGGTTTTTATGGAACGCATTTATACGTGAATTGATAAAAAGCGTGGGTTTTTTCTGTGCTGCAAGTTATAGTGCCCAATGAGATGTGGATTTGTTGTATTTAGAAGGTTTTGCAAAATAAAAAAAAAAAGGCATTTTTCTTTTTTCACTTCATTTATCCGTCAGTATTCCACGTGAAGCCAAGGTTGGGGGGACTGAGAAGGCTGGCTCCTCTCTCCTGAAACCCCCTCTCAAGCCTGCTCAAGTTACTGAACCATACACAGTTTTGCAAGTCCAAAGTCTTTATTTTTCCCATAAAGGACTTTTGATTGTTTTCCTACCCTGTAACAGGAACTGCCACATGTTTCATTTCTTCCCCAGAGCCAGGCGAGAACTTTCTGCTCCCAGCAATGACAGGCAGCAAACCAGACACTTCTTTTTATATGAGTTGATCATTTCTCATAAAAAAGGTTGTAGGATGAGAGAAAGCAGGGGGCTGTGTGTCCTGTGGGGATCCCCTCAGCTGTGAACCCCTGTGTGCTGAGGGGCCTTTGTAGGGATTGACCATCACCCCACAGCTGTGGGGACTGTGGGCCCTTGGGCCTGTTCATTAATCAGAAAAATGGACTTTTAATTAAAATTCAGCTTTTTGGCCTTTGCTGAGTTTGTACCAGGTCCCTCTGGCTTTTTCCCCATCTCCCCGTAGTAAAACGAAAGTATAATTCACTGATATTCACAGGGTGTGAAACCTTGGGACGAAATGTTCTGAACTAAAATTCCTCCGAATTAAAAACCTAATTTCCTGGAAATTTCCTATAAGAGCCTTAACTATTACTTTTCCTTAAACTTCACCCTGGAAAGACTGTCTCCGTTCCCAGAAGCAGCCGCCGCCCCCGGTCCCCTCGCGGGGGACACTGGGCCCGGGGGCTCTCCCGTGGTGCGCGCGGTGCCGGGGGTCCCCTCGGCAGGTCCCGGTGCCGATCTCGGTGGTGGTGCCGGGGATCCCCTCGGGCCCGTCCCGGCGGTGCCGGTGCCGGGGGTCCCCTGGGAGTGGTGCCGGTGCTGTCGGGGGTCCCGTCGGAGGGTCCCGGTGGTGCTGTCGGGGGTCCCCTCGGAGCGGTGCCGGAGCTGTCGGGGGTCCCCTCGGAGGGTGCCGGTGGTGCTGTCGGGGTCCCTCGAGGGTCCCGGTGCTGTCGGGGGTCCCCTGGGAGCGGTGCCGGAGCTGTCGGGGGTCCCCTCGGAGGGTCCCGGTGGTGCTGTCGGGGGTCCCCTCGGAGGGTCCCGGTGGTGCTGTCGGGGGTCCCCTGGGAGCGGTGCCGGAGCTGTCGGGGGTCCCCTCGGAGGGTCCCGGTGGTGCTATCGGGGGTCCCCTCGGAGGGTCCCGGTGGTGCTGTCGGGGGTCCCGTCGGAGGGTCCCGGTGGTGCTGTCGGGGGTCCCCTCGGAGGGTCCCGGTGGTGGTATCGGGGGTCCCCTCGGAGGGTCCCGGTGGTGCTGTCGGGGGTCCCCTCGGAGCGGTGCCGGAGCTGTCGGGGCTCCCCTCAGGCCCCCCCTCCCGCCGGGCCCCGCGCGCTCGGGCGCAGGCGCGCGCGGGTCACGTGCGCGGCGCAGGCGGCGGAGCGGCGCTGGAGTCCCGGGCCGCGCGCGACCCCCGCCCCGCGCGCCCCCGCGGCCCCGCGCGCGCCCCCGGCGGCGGCGGCGGGCCCAGGTGAGGGAGGGCGGGCGGGGGTCGCGGCGCGGGGGCGCGGGGGGCGCGGGGTCGGCGGGGCGGGGCGGCGGGGCCGGGCCGGCCCGGCCCTGCCCGGGTGCGGCGCAGGCCGAGCCTGCAGCGCGGCGGCGGCCGAAGGGGCGCGGAGCGGTGCGGGGCCCGCGACACCGCCATGCAGCGCCGGGCCGGGGTGCCGCGTGTGCCGGGGCGTTCGGCAGGAGCCTGTCAGCGGGGCCCAGCCCGGGGCCTGCAGCCCGCCCGGCCGGGGCTGGGGCTGGGCCGGCCCCGCTCCGCCGGCGCTGGGAGCCCGCGGGCTCGGCCCGGCCCACCGGCCCCGGGACGGAGCGTGTCCGAGCCGGCAGCGCTGTCAGCCCCGGCGGCTGTCCCGGTGCCGGTCCCTCAGCCCCGGCCTTTGTGTCAGCCGGGCCGCGTTGACGTTTCGCTTTTGTTCGAATTCCTCGGTACCTCTTGTAACAGAGAAAGACTCTTCACTCATCCCCTGTTTGGTGTCTGCATTTCTATAGGAGATCTCAGAATGATCAGATTTCTTCCAACTGCTTTGGGGAATGGAAGGAGAGAGCTTTTCTGTGGGTCTGTAAGCTGGCAGCGGGTTAGAGCTTCATGAGCTTTGTCTTTCCATGACTCCTCAGCCTCCTGGTAGACACATGTGTGCTCATTCCCCTGATTGAAAACCTTACTAAAACCATTCTCACTGGCATTTTATTACATAAAAGACAATGCCTCTTGTTGGGTTTATAATTATTGTGCATTTTAGCCTTTCTGTCTTGTTCTGTCTCGTTCTTTAGCTAAACCACGTTTCAGTATTTCCATTATATATATATGTATTTATGTGTGTGTGTGTGAAAACAAATCTGAGAGAGAACAAATCTGGCATTTTCCAAAAGGTTACCAAGTGTAATAACCACAACTTTTGGATTTAGCTGCTCTTTTCCAGTTACAGCAAACAGTCCCCAGCTTTTCTATGCATCTTGTGGAGAAAGAAACAAAGGTCTCAAGGCACATTTTCAAAATGGCCAGATCTGCCAGCCTGGGCACTGCATGAAGTGCCTGCAGCAAGGCATCAAGGTGTCTGCTAGGGATTTGTGTGCTCTTTAAATATCCATTGAGCCATGTGGCCTCCCTGGAAAGTTAACCGGCTTTACGAGGAAATGTTTCACAGTAATGCTGTGCCCAGGCTCTCCCGTGAGAAAAAATGAAATCAGAACTGGGGAGGGTGCACTCAGACCTGTCTTCTGCTGAGAAATGACATTTTAGTGTTTTAAACCCACAGAAGGACGTTCCCTTTGGATTTTGGCTGGAGAATCTCCCGGCAGTGGTCTCCAGCCGGTGTCTCTGGAAAGGCTGTTCTTCTGTAGGACTTGGAGGGAGGAGTTTTTTACAACAGGCTTCCAAATGATACAGTGGTTTTACACTTTTCTAGTGAAAAAATAGGTGCTTCCTTAAAATAAGAAACAACTGTGTGCAGGGAAGCCAGAGCACTCCAGCTCCACCCGTGCATCTCCAGGTGTTGGTGTTTCCATTTTTCAGTGGCTTAAGAAAATACAGGGTGTGGGGGTAAATTCTGCTCCACAGCTGTAATGCCAC